TTTTATTTTGTTGAAATTATGATGATAAATATAGATATAATACAACATTTATAAATATAAAATGACATTGCAATTATATAAATATTTTCTCCTTTTACAATTTATACGACTATATGGCATTACAAATATATTTTATAATATAGTTGAAAAATATAATACAAATAATTTAAATTTATTAATCTCAAATAAAAACAAGATGATAAACCATAAGAGAATGCAACCGACTTCAATTCAATTTATTTTTATAAACATATTATTTGAACTTAATAGTTTAAAATTTTGGGCATGTTATTTAGCTGTATCTTTTGTCTCTTATGTAAACTGTGATGCATACTTTGCATGCAGTTGCATAATTATTGTCCAGTCAGAATTGCCAATTAGAACGCCTTCACTTAGCAGGGAGAACAAGATACTGTAAAACAAGAAACTCACATTAATCTTAGCAATAAATTCTAATAAAGGAAAGTATGATAATAAACTGACGGCACAGCGCAGGAGGTTTACAGGGCGAACTACATGAGATTGGTGGTGGACAAGGCGTGCAGGGGATGCTTTTTGTGCAAACGTAAAAGAAGGCAGGCGGAGGTGGTGGTGGTAAATACGTTATTTCCATTTTCGGTGGAGAAGACATAGGACAGTTTGGACAGGGTGGCAGATAAACCTTTTATAAAATTCTTTTCTTAGCTCTTTTATTATTAAATAAATAAATAAAACATCACTTATCTATGTGTATATTATATATTAGTGTTTTAGAATAATGTACAGTGATAATCTATGATGATCTATCTTTTAAAAGTAAACTTAATTTTATTATGTATTTTTCAATTGAGTAAATTATGTGTTAAAAATGTTTTTATATCATTACAATATATGTTACGAGATATTAAAGAAAATATTTAAATAACAGAAGTTGAGTTGAGTTTCCACGTGACAAACATACCACTGCTTTAGTAGGTTTTGGTACACACTGCTGCTGACAAGCTATTTTACATTGAACACGGGAAATGCGAGGCATGCAAGGATAGCTCACAGGTGGAGTACAACAAATTATAGGGCATGGGATCGAACTTTTCATTGGTAGAGAACAAGAAGAAGGAAGAAGGTCCAAAGTTTTACAATTCTTGGAACTTGTTAGCCATGCGAATTATTGAATAATTAAAATTAATTATTATGAATTAATAAGTATACTGAGAAAAATTATTTAAGTATCTTGCATATACTATGTTGCATATTTATTATCTAAAAAAATTAGTTTAAAATATTTCTTATGTTTAATGAAATATTTTTAAACTTTTAAATTAATTATATTTTTAAAGCTTACTTGTTTTCTTTTTGTATTATCTTTGCGTATCAAATTTATATAAAATTGAAAACTTAATGATAATTTTGGTAACGATTGTATAATTAAAGTCACATTGACAAATTTGACATTTTGGATATATCAAATCTAATCAGAACAATAAATTATTATTATAAATATTTATAATAAATTAAATATTTACCTCGACATGATGTATTAAAGGTATATTCTAAATAAGATTAACTGTCAAGGATATTAATCTCTTTGTTTAAAATTTTAATAATTAATATTAAATTGTCGACGACTGAGTTCCTCGATAAAATGAAAGATAATGACTATATCTATCGTCGTGAAAGAATTATATAAGATCACTTGAAATTTAGTTGATCCCTGATAAGAGATACTTCAAAATTTAAAATTAGCCTCTCATGTGTTTGGATTAGTCAGCCAAAGATTATTTAATGGTAACCTTGGTGACTCGGAAAATTGATCGTCAGTTTAATCACATAAATTACAGGCGGGAATTACTCGCGGTGATTCCCACGTTTCTTTTCCGTTTTAAAAAATATGAGACACGATTGATGTTAACTGCGTTTTTTTGCAGGAAATGTAAGTATTAAGTAATGCTATTTATCACTGATAAAGTCTAGAAAATTGCTGTCTAGAACTTTCAAACTGACAATGATTTATAAAGATTAAGAATATTTACATTTATTTGATATTGATATTGAAGATAAATAGATAATATATCTCATGATTATAGTTTATGCTAATTTGACTGGATTTAATCATTAAATGATGTAATGCTTAACATGAAATCGCAAGAAATATTACAATATTTTTTCATAAGACGAAATTAATTCAAAAATTGTGAAAAGAATATTGCATTAAAATTAAGATATAAGATAAATGATGAATCAATAATGTCATATAATTTGCATAAATTAATAGCATATATGCCAATTTACAAACTATTAATAGAAATACAACTGTATTTGTAATTTGCATATTGATAAAAAGTATTCGGTCTATGACATGAATTGACTTTAACCATCAACGGAAATCAATTTCGTTACAACTGTTTGAGTTCAGACAAAGGAATTCCTTCTGTAAGGAATGCAACTGTCACCGCATGTCCACATTCGACAATACTCTTGATGCACATCAGTGGTGCATTCCAGCAACGGTTCGCGAGTTCGACTGAAAAGCTAGCAACAAAAGCAGCGCTGTATCTTTGTCGCAATATCTACATTCAAACATATATCATGATTTTGACATTGTTGAAGAAGAATAATGTTAGATGTAACACAATCGTGATATATATATATATATATATATATATATATATATATATGTATCTGATTTAAATATATGATGTTTAAATGTTATTCTTAAGAATAAATCCAAGAAAAATTTTATTTTACATGCAAAAAATATGCGAAAGATAATATGACAATGTGTATGTGTGTTTAAAAAATGTGTAGTTTATTGTATAATTACGATATACATAATTACATATAATTATAGTAACTTACAATCTCTTCAAAAGGAGGAAGTTTAATTTATTTATTTGTCGCATTTTGATTATTATCAAATATGCATGTGATGAAAATTATTGCTATTGAAAAAAATCGCGTAATTAAATGTGAAGAAGTAAAAAGTACACAGGCTCTTACATATCACTCAAACTATATTTATTATGACACACAGATCGCGTGCTTATGCGATAGTGATGAATGAGTGTGCGAAATGAAGACTTGTATATCTCGTGAGCTGGTTATGCGAGCGTAAATATTGGCGTAGATTAAATTGAGCATTGGTGTCGATTGACGGGGAACGGATTATGACACACAGAACCCTGCTCCATTCGGAGGCTGGGCGGGAATGCCGCGTCTGTTCATACGACAAGCGTGCTCTTCCAGACGTTGAGCGGCAACATTGTTATCTTGCTTTTTGAAGCTCCACAGACGTTCAGCCGCCGCACTCGCACGTGGCCAGATCCTTGGATGCACGTTATTTCTGAAAATAAACGGCAGTTCAACGAGAAAGGTCAACACACATTCCGCAATTGCTTTCTTGCTAGATAAAATAATATAATAATAAAATAATTATTTTCATATTTTTTTCTTTGGTACATTTAAAAGAAAGATTATAAATGTTGTACTTATTTGTAGCAACAAATTTACCATACAATTTTAATACTTATGTATTTTATAATTATATATTTATATATTACTTTTCACTAATTTAACTTTTATTAGTGCTGCTAAAACATTGATTATCAATCGACTTGCTTTTTATCAAAGTGTACATCTTTTATATGTCTATTATTTATTATGCTATCTAATTAACATACTATCCATAAATTGTAGACAAATATAAGTATCGTTAATAAAAAAAAAGAGAGATAGACTTACTTGTCAACGAACTCTGCCCACATGCAAGTCTCACCGCCAAGCATGAGATGCGTGGCATTGGCTGCATTAGCAAAGTCGAAAGGATCGCAATTGTAATATTTTTGCCAGTCGCCGCCACCGGCGATATGGTCCAGATACCAGCAAGATGACAGCAGGACCGGATGACCTGCCGCCGTTGCTCTTTCTAATTCCTTTTGCCAAAAAGGTAGTTTCCAAACGTGTACTACCGTGCTTGCGGGTAACACAACACCATTATCGAAAACCTATAAATCGTACAACAATTTACATATAATGACATGTCTCGTGATATAATACATAAATAATGTTTATACGTTATGATAATGATCATATTATGCACAAAGATTCTCAAGATATTTTTAATGATAAAATCGTTGATCAGAAAAGAAAATAAAGAAATCGAGGAGTACTTGCTTCTTGCCATACAATACTGTTAGCGTCTAACGAACTGCTGATTGCGAGTAATTTGGTTATATATTCGTTCTCGAGCAATTCGTATTTAGATATGTTACGGTTTTTCATGTATTCGACAATTCTTGGATTGCTACCCCAACAATCGAAAGGTACTTCGTCGCCACCTAGGTGGACATATTGATCTGGGAATACTTGCACGATCTCAGAGAACAAATTTTGTACGAAGTTGTACAGTGTCGGGTTCGTCGGATCCATCGGTCCTAGTTTACCATTTGGTTTTCCAGAAGAGTCTAACAAATACACAAATATATACTGGTACTTTGTATAGTTCGAAAAAAATATGAATAGGAAGTTATAAAAATAAAAATAGATTTAAGTGTGAATTTTTCATCTTTAAATACTTAGATTTTTATTATAATTTAATAAAAAAAAATTTTCTTTTTTTCATTTTTACCATAACATGTCGTCAATAATTCCGGATAAGCTATCCCCCATGATCTTGTGTGTCCGGGTGTGTCAAACTCGGGCATCACTCGGATCCCACGTAATCTCGCGTATTCGACAACTTTCTGCACGTCATTGGGTGTGTAGATCATCGAGGGATGGTAAGTGCCTTTAGCGGACAGGTCGGGATACCTAGTGCTCTGATACGGGAAGCTGTTGTCATCAACGATGTGCCAATGAAGGACGTTTAGCTTATTGTACGACATAGCGTCCAGTGTTAACAGTATGTCAGATAAGGGTAGATAATGACGAGAAGTATCGAGCAGGAGACCGCGATGCGGCAGTTTCGGCTTGTCCAGGATGGTTTGGCATTTTATTTTTAACTATAACATGCAATTAAACTCACTCAATTTAATTATTTAAATAAAAAATTATAATATTTGCATGCAAAAGAAAAATTGCAATGTAAAAAGTATGAACATCGATTTCGAAAATTGTTCTCCTATCCATAAGTTTAAAGTCAAGGCCAGCACAAGTTATCGATAGTTTTTTACGAGAATATGTAAATGATTTAAAATAAAACATTCTACATTTTTTTATCAGTTAACTAACTTTCAATTTTATTTTTGCATATTTTTTTGCATAGAAAATTCATAATTTAAAATAAAAATAAAAGACAAGAAAGAAAAATAAAAAGAAATACATATTAAAATATTTAAATATTTAAATATTTACATTTGGGCCATCGCCGGACGGTGCCAATGCCTGTGAGAAAGTCTCGAGACCTCGCAGGATTCCCCATTCCGATTCGGCCCATAGGATGGCGACCGATGAAGTCTCGTTTATTTCGAGCTTATCTGGAAAACGCATGTATCGCAATGTCAAGTGTTGTACTAAATCAGCTCGATCAAGGAAGACGAGTACAGATAAAATCATAGAATTTCGCTTGCTAATCAGTGATTATGACTTTATGGCATTTAACTTTAAACGATAAGAAACTAGGAAGCAAATCGGAGTTTGTCTTATTGTTCGCCTTCGTTTCAATCGTTTTGCTGATTGCACTACTATTGCTCAACTCGCTCGAAAGTCTTGCGCGTGTTCGGTCTGCATTCGTCATTCCATACCGCAGAATCGCCTTGGTTTAATCGGACTAAATTAATTGTAATTCCCTCCGCGATTAGTTAAATTGATCGATCATTATTTCGAAATAGCTACATAACAAGGAGAAAATTGAGAAAAATATTGATTATATTATTTATTAATTTTCATAAGTTTCACATCTGTATAAAAAATTATATATATTTTAGATATCATTTTTAAATAAATACATCATATATCTAGAATAGATAATAATTCTCTCTCTGTCTGTCTCTGTATAAAAATATTTTTCATATTGCAATATTATATGCAAAAAATTTACTAAAAATTCTTTTTTAAAGTATATAAAAATATAAAATATAGAGATTAATTACCCAGGAAAGATAAATTTTTCATTTCTATTTTTGTTAAATATTATAATTAAATTTGTTTTCTAATTTAATCATTTTTATTGTTTATTATTATTGTTATATTATTGTTCATTGTTTGCTAGTCAATATAGCGATTAATGCAATTTTTCGGAAATTGATGTTGGAACCGATCGTTGATAAGGAGAGACGTTATTAAGAACCGCAAAAATCCAATTTGCGCGCACGCAAGCCCATTATCGGCACAAATCGGCGAATGTTAGGTCGGGGTTACGAGTGCTGCTGTTCACTGGCATCATTCAATTAATTTGTTGGTGCACTACCCATTACTTTGTAATGCATGCTGCACATGCAAAGAGACGCACTGCACATGAAATATGTATTTGAATTGTGATAGAGTTATAACCAAAGTTACAAATTTTCTACCACCAGCTATAATAATCATATTTATTTAATTTATTTAAAACAGTTTATGTAAAAGAAAAATAAATAATACACGTAATAAATAATATATAACAATATAACAACGTAACAATAATAAATAGTGTATGTAAGTGTGTGTGTGTGTGTGTGTGTGTGTATATTATTTGTTGTATTATTTTTAAATATTTTCTATTATTTAACGATTATAATTATTATGTAAATGAATAAATTAAAAAGTTGGATTTAATTTCGTAACTTACAAGATTCATTCATATATAAATATGGCCAATGTTCGCCATTCTGTTCACAAGGCTGCAAAAGACGGATGCTTAGGGCTTCAAGAGTGCCTCTAAAATAAGGATCGTCTCGAATGAATGTTCTTGGCTGCCCTTCCGTGACCAACCTCGCTATTCTAGCTTCCGTCAAAATAATCCTCGTGTACCGTTCTATTGCTTCAGTCACGATATCGCATACTTCGCCGTTTATCTTTGTAAATAAAAATATTAAGTTATTAAATAATGTAAAATCAAAGACCTTCAAAGAAAGTCTGAAACGTACACAACAAGCAAAGATATACAAAATAAAGATATACAAATTAATTTTAAAATAACGATACTTTTAAAATAACGATATTGATATCTAATGAAAAAGCAGATGTAATATCAAAAAGATAGAATAAGTGAGAATGAGAGAGAGAGAGAGAGAGAAACTAATCAAAATTATAGGATATAATTCTATATGCTTTAAGCGAATGATTATTAATAAACGTCCGCATTCAAAATTGCAATACAGAAAACATTTCCATGTAGAGAATTAATATTTATTACAATACATATAATATTCATTGAATAAAATTGTTAAATTTATTCAAAATATAATATAAAATATAATATAAAATATAATAAAAAATAAAATCATGACAATCTGTTATTGTAAAATCTGTTATTTTATTAAAGCTTTTACAAACTTCTTTGATTTGTAGTAATTAAGTTATAAGAATAAAATTATAAAAATAAAGAAAGTTGTATTGAGACAAGCATTTCGTACGCAAGCATCATTATTCTGATTAAGAATACACCCCGATTGCAAATATATATATATATATAAAATAAAGTAAAATAACAAAGTCGATAGAAATTTATTAATTTTTCTAAACAATTTAGTATAATTGTTTATATAGAAAGATTTAAAATTGCATTAGTCTAATCTCTTTGCCAAATAAGAAATTATATTAGGTATAGCGAAGGAAAAAGGAAGGAAAAAAAGGAAAAAAAATTATGCGAGGACTTACTCGAATATCGAAGTTCGATGGTCGCAATAGGTAAAAATAATTTTTGACTATACGCGTATTCGGCATGGGCCATAACTCGCCCTTCGTGGCCTGGACCCATGGACCCGCGTCTGAATGCAACGAAGAAACTTGCCAGGAGACGGCGGCTATTAAGACGAAAACGATACAAGCGTGTATCCACATGTCTATTCCGAGATAGAGAGAACGATTCAGGTACACGATCGAGGAACGATGCGACGCCAGCGAGTGGTCACCGTCTACTGATCGCAGGATGCCAGAGAACGCACATACATACGACAGTGGTAACGACCTTAGCCTGCGCCACTTAAGTTTTATCACTTTGGTCCCCGAGAGGCTCACGGTCAAGTGAGAATAACCAGTCCTCCTGGCAGCCACAGTTTCCGTTTATCCTTAAATCTTGTTATGTATATAAGTAGTTCGTATAAGAAACAAACATTTAAGAAAATAATATTGTTAATTTTAATTCTTTGACTTCTAAACTGTTATGACTATTCTGACTTTTAAAAGAAATTTTTAAAAATTAGAATAATCATAACATTGGATTTATATTATATAAAAGCATTCTTTTTTTTTTGTAATACTTTTTCATTTATTACATTGATACAATGTATATTTTTTATTTTGCAATGTAATTAGATAAAAGTAAATTTAATTTAATTTTTTCATATTTCTTTGTAAGTTTTGGATTATCATTTATTATTAACAAATAAACAAGTAAATAATTTTGGGATATGAAGGATAAGAAAAAGAGAGTTTATAAGTGGGATAATAATTAAAAAATTATAACCGAATTCATTTTAAATTAAAATTATATAAATTTTAAAAAATCTCTCAGTTGTTATAAATTCAAAAGTTGTTATAAAATCTTAAAAAATTTTTTTATCATTTTGACATAATTCGAAAAACAAGCATATTTTATTGATAATTGATATGTTTGATAATTTTATCGATAAATTTTAACAAAAATATTTTTAATTATAATTAGAAATAGTAATTATTTAACATAAATATTATACTTAAGAATCCTTGACTTTAAGTTTATCTTATCTAACTTTTAATTTATCTTATTTGTCATATCTCTTTATCATGAAGTTATTATTCTGGCGTGATTGTTGATTTAATTGATTATCTTTGTTGACAGATTCATAATACTTTTATTAACGATATGGTACAATAAAAAATATTTTTTACTTAAAGAAAATTCTTGACTTTATCTTTAGTGTTTCTTTCTATTAGTGTTGGTCCACAATAAGTATTTAATCTTTAAGCCATAAGAAATTGACTAATCATAGTCGAGTATTCTTTTCATATTCGATTATAATTGATCAATTTCTTACTTCTTAAAGCTTAAATCACCTATTGTGGACCGACACTAATTTATTTTTTTTAATAGCTTTTTATAATCTAAAAAGGATTGATAAATGACAACAAAAAAGTTATTGCATTATCTATTAACTGTTATAGCTTCAAACATTTAAATATGTTTAACATTTAAATTATTTGTTCTTCTTGATAAATTAAAAACGTAAGAAAATCTCGTAATTTATGAAACATACATCTCGTATGTTTATGAGATACACAGCATCATTATTTATAATGATGCTGTGTATCTCATAAGCACGAGATCGTTTTATCGCAGTTATATCGCTATCGAAACATTACCAGAAAGCTGCAAACAGTCGAGTGCAAAGATCAATGGTCTCTCGATTGCTTCGGTATCGATGTCGACAAATTATTATTACGGCGTAACGATCAATTGTTTGATAATATTCCCAATAATTTTTCTATTTAACATCGTTAAACTCATGTTGGAAAAGATAAAATCATTGCGTCTCGTTTCGAATATTACATCTCGAGTTGCTTTTGAACACACGTTACACAAAAACACACCTTTTCCTGCTTGATTAATCGTTCTTCGCGTAATCCTCTGTATTTAGAAGATGTAGGTCAATCGAATAAATCGAATACGGGAATAAAATAAAATAAAGTGAGAACAATGAGGAATCAAATCTTTAAAACAAATTAAGATTAATCTTTTTAACTTGACACTTCATTTATATCAATTTTATCAACCACTCAATGAATTTTTTTCGTTAACATGAAATTACTATAATAATAACATATCACGAACGCATTCAAAGCAAAGCATAATATAAAATTACTTTTATTTAAGCATTCGAGACTGTATTGAATACTTTGATCAGGTAATCATGAACTTGTATCAAGAGACACTGGCGTCTCATGAGAACAAGAGTGCAGGTATCTCTACGCAAATCGGCCAGTTGCGAGTACTTGAGATTATCGAATCTTAGGCTGGTCCAGTCAAATTCATATGTTTAATCAAGAGCTTGAGATTGTATAGGAAATTTTTTTTATCTTTTTCCAAACGCTGCTTACAAACGGAGATATAACGATGAGAAGTTAAAATGTGTGTGTGTGTGTGTGTGTGTGTGTGTGTGTGTGTGTGTGTATAAATTTCTGATTAAAAAATATTTTGAAATCGTCGTTGTCATCTCATAAATAAATTTAAAACAAATGTTTTGTGTAATTTGTGCTCAAAAATTAGAGATGTACTCAAAACTAGTCGAAATGATTTCCAACATGATAATTAATTTCTTAATAATAATTCAAATATCTATAACATAGGCGGTTTGAAATTCTTATCAATTTAAATGCAATTTGCATTTAATACATATGTAATACATACATATGTATAGCAACAGGTAGTTTATTGTAACAACAAATTTATTATAACATAAATAGGATTTTTATTATATAACATAAAATATATCTACATATCTCTCTTAGAGAAATCTTAGAGAAAAAATAAAGAATCTATTAAACGAAACAAATGTACGATGATAGATTCTCCAGAATTCAGCATTTAAAACATGACGATTAGTATTTAATGTTGAATTATTGAAACACATTATACTCTCGAATCAGTTAGATATTATCTGTACAATTGTTGACTATTTTGTCGTAAACACATTGTTGCTGGCGTAGCCTTGAGAATTGTTTATATATCGCAGCTAGCGCGCGCCATGTTTACGAGCGCTCCACATGCTATTATTCTCTAATCGGCATTCGTACGGGCAGGTAGCGGTGCGCGTCGCTCCGTGTTTCTTCGCATTCTTTCATTGTTAAATAATAATAGCAAACGCTATATCATACTTATATAAATATTTATTAATAAATAATGAATACTTATTATTAATTGATTGATTAGCGACTTATAAATGTATCGAAACAACAACTCTTTAATAAAGTATATATACATTTCGCGCGACTTGTTCCTTTAAAATTTGTGTCTTTTTGCAAATGATAACCCCTCTAAAGGGTACGGCCTTGACGTGGCAGAGGGGCTTAGTATTCTGAGGGGTTACTCGAGCAGCACTGTTAGTTGGTAGAAGAATGTTTGCCAATTAATTTGTGTTACTCGGGTACGTACCCCAAAGACGAAGAAGCTAACTAGTACCCGTTGCACAGTTATTAGTAACATTAATATTAACACTGATATTAATATTATTGTTATTAATAATTTCTCCGCCGCCGATTTAATAGAATTGAAACGAACCGTAGCCAGTTCGTCGCGTCGCGCATTTTTTCCGGGAGTGCCGTACCGAGTAGACTAAATCAGACTATAAGGCTTTTCCTCGTCCTGCGAGGGCTCGTTTGAAAAATATCACAGTTCATGTCGGGAGTCGTACTGCCAAGGGGTGCAGGGAGCATGGGATGTCTCATTGAGGCGTAATCGGCTACGTCTTCACGCCACGTGCGTCGCGGCACTGGTGATGCCGGCTGTGAATGTTACACGCACTCGCACCCGCTTGATGTGTTGTGTTTCGCACAGTTGCGACATGCATTAAACGGCTGATTGAGAACACGCTCTGTCTTCGACAAGTGGTTCGGTCCCAATCGGTAAGAATTCAATCGAGTGACTTGCTTCCGTCGCTTCTCTTGTTTTCTCTCCCTAATGAATCGCATTTAATCTGACTTGACCAGAGCTTAGTTCGGGCGGTTATTGCGTGTGCCGAGAGACTGGATTCCGGTTGCCCGATTGTCTAGATTGTTGAGGCATCGGCGATGGGTACCTTCTCTCTCGTCACATCTACCAGCCTTCTCGATAGCCCGGATGATTTTTGATATCACGTGTATGGTATCCGCCTTGGTGATTCGACCTGAGCCGTTGGCTATGTAATGGTCGAGTCAATTTTAGACGTGATTTTTGAGAAACAAGAGACGTCGGAGCCAACTTAGTCGATCGCGTCTTCTTCCGCTTCGGTCTTAAACCTTTGCTTGGAGTTAACGTGTGTCCCGAAAAGCTCACCGACTCGGGTACTGACTGGACCGACGGAACTTGATATTTTCACGGGCAGCTAAACGTGGAGTGCCGCAAAGTATCGCGCGAAAGACGTTTAAAATTAGTCCTACGCGCGATTATAATTATTCGCGAGTGTTTCTTCGCGAGTGTTCTGTGCTGCGAGATCCGACGATTATCCTGAGAGGAGGAGGAGACCTGGGAGAGGCGTCGGGCACCGGCGGAGCAACCTTGCGGTAAATATATATTTTCTTGTCATATAAAATTAATCGTTTTCTTATTTATTTGATCAATAGATTTTAATTTTAATATTTACTTAATAATTCAAAAATTTGAGAAGAAGAAACATTTTTAAATTATACACGAGTTATTTTTTGAAAATTATATATAATTATTTTAGTAATTATTTAATTGAAAAAGCAAAAGCAAGATTCGATGTGTGGAAGAATTATTTTATGAAATATCTATCATTTCGAGCGCTGTTATAATTTAAATATTCTGTTTGTGTGTTACAGAATCATCGTAGCTACGTGGCAGATTAACTCCGCCGTTGCGCATCAGGTTGGTGAGTGACGAATTTTTTATATTGGGGTAACAAATCTGTGAAATCTAAATTATTTTTATATATTCAATAAAAACTATTATAATTGTATACATCTTCACAGATTTGATACCCTAAATGGATAGATTTAAACAGTTTAGAGGGTATATTTAATCCTGGAATGAAACTATTTATTGATTTGTTAATTTATTAATTATTTGTATTGTGCAATACACTTGCACAGATACATAAAGCTAACAAAAGTTGAGTTTGTTGTGTCGACTCATCTAGATAATAATTCGGTTCAATTTAAATTTTTCTTGGCTGAAATATATTGTTTGTTATATAAAGCTGATTAAAATATTAAAGTTGATAAAAT